GAGAGAGAGAGAGAGAGAGAGAGAGAGAGAGAGGTCACCAGCTCGGCCAGGCCTTGCAAAACACGGTTATTTGGAGTTGTGCAAGGCCAGGGCCCGAGGGTGGCGAAAGGGGCCCCTCTCTCCTCCCAGGGAGGTGGAGGGGGAAGGGCAGGAGCTGGGGAGGGGGCTGGGAAAGAGGGCACCGTGTCCCCCCCCCCAGGAGACGTGTGCAAAAACACATTCCAGTAAGTCCTAGTGGTCAGAGGACAAATATAAAATAACAGCAAGACAAACGAAAACCCCTAAGGTAGTCGGGATTTCAAAGGCTTCTTGGAAAGAGAGCGCTCAGGAGGGTGTGGGGGGGGAACCCCTGCTGCCCAAGTCGTAAAAAACGGAAGATATTTGACAAACCGGCTGCGAGTTGACACACGCGCGCGCACTCCGGCTTCCTGCCCCCTCTTTTGTGTCCGGGGGCTGGGGGGCTCCTGGGACCCCGTGGGAAGGATCGGGATGGGTGCACCCCGCGGGAGGAGAGGGTACCCCATCGGTGCACTGGAGCTAGGGAGCGAAGGGGGAGGGATGGCGAACCCCGATGGACATAGGTTTGGAGGAGAAATAGAACCGAAGGCACCGGGGCGTGGCGCCGCGCCCGGTCTGGGATTTTCCCAAGCACTTGGGAAGGAAAGCTGAGGCAGGGGGATGGCCTCGAGTTCCAGGCCAGTCTGCACTTTAAGCGGAGTTCTAGGTCAGCCTGGAGTACACGGTGAAATCCTAGCTCCAAACATTAAAAACACGTTTTTTAAGGACGAAAAAGCGAAATGAAGTCCCCAGAGCGCAGCCCCCAGCCCCCGCGCGTACACACGCGCACACACCGCGGGTCCGTTTCCTTCCGCCAGGGGACAGCGCGCACTCGCGACCCCCGCGCGCCCGAACACTCGCGTACCGGATGAAGGTCTCCAGGGTCTACGGCCGCGACAGCCGGTCGAGTCACCCCCCCAGCCCCACACGCATCTCTGCCTAACTTTGGAGACCCCACAATTGTCGGTTTCCAGGGTGCTGGAGCCACGCTGCAAAAGGCCTTACCGAGACTGCTCGGGGTGGCCCAGGGGGCGCACGCCCGGGTGCCCGGAGTCCAGCCCAGAGTCCAGCCCGGTGGTGGCCTCTCTCCCCTTCGGCCTCCCCCTGATGCCCGGTGGTGCACGCTCCTGGTTCCGGGGTCACCCGCCTCACCGAATCTCCAGGCCGCGTCTACACCTCCATCCGTCCGGATCCGATAGGGACGAGGTCTCCGCGCGCGACCGGCCCCCCGCCCCGCCCCTCCCCCACCCGGCAGACGAATCGCCGAGTGACAAATTGCTCTCAGATGCAAATACCTCGCCGGTGATTCAGCAGCCCCGGGGACTCAGGAGAAGGTGGTGGGTGTCTCTCCAAGGTCCCCCTTTCCAAGCTTTCCCAAGACCTCCCCGGGTTCCCCACTCCAACTCAATTTACGGACGCCCACGATGGGAGGAGGTGGAGGGCAGCTGGAAAGCTGCGACAGAGGGACGGAAATTTTCAGGTCGCGGCCCCTTTAAATGATAATAAATAATAAAAGGAAGGGGGAACCGGACTGAGGGACGCCCCGCCCCTAGTCTAGGGACTGTGTGCAAAGTGCGCGCCGCAGCCCACGGCGCAGAGGCCGCGAGCGGGAGGGCGGGGCTGCGAGAGCCCCGTCGAGGGGAATCCAGAAGGGTTTCAAGGTTCCTCCCCCTAGCTGGGAGCGGAAAGCCGGCTGGGTCCCCGGTCGTTTCCTGATTTCACCCACGTGAGATGGACCAGCCGAGCTTGGCACCGGACCTCCTGCCCTCTGCATTTCCCGAACTTTTCCAGCCCGGGTCTCCACGTCTCTGAAATGGGCTTAAAATCCCGGGAGAGGCCTGAGCTGCGGGGGCGGGGACGCTGCGGGGGAGTGCGCTGCGTGCGCAAAAGCACGGAGCTGGGCTGCGCGCGCGTTCGAGGAAATGCGAGGACCCGTGACGACCCCGCCTAGGAGGGAGAGAAGGAGGGAGGGAGGACCGACCTTTAGCCGACTCGGCCCACCGTGTGCGTCTCAGTAGAGGCCACCATTTTGCGGGATGGGAAACTGAGGCATGGTGTGAGCTCAGCTAGTGGGCAGCGTCCGTGCTCAAGGCAACCCCCCACTTCTGCAAGCAACCCATGGATAGTGCTTGTTGACTGTTGGGGGGCTCTTGAGCAGCCTGAGCCCCTCAAAAGCCGTTGAGAGGGAGAGGGCAAGTCTGGTGTGGTGGGGTGATTCCGGACCTGTCCCGGGAGTCCCTCTAGAACCCTAGACTGCTTCAGGCTCAACGCTGCAGGTGGCTGCAGTCTTCACCTTCAAACTTTTCCACACCTTGACCTGTTGTGGCGTGGCCCCAGGGTGGAGCTGGGCCTGCAGATCTTTCTCTCTCAACCTGTTCGATGGATGAGCACACTGATCCCAACATCTTGTGGGTCCCCCCTGAGTTTGGGCAACCCCCCTCCCCAAACCATACTGACCCTTGTGTCTAGATAGTGAATGCAACCAAAATGTTATATATGCTACTTTATATATAAACTATATCCCTGTATATGAATGACAAATGAAGTTCATGCCCTGGCAGTGCAGAAGTTCATGCCCATGGGCAGCCCGTATATGGCAGTTCTGTTGAATTTGTCCATATTGGGTTTCATGGTTTTAGTTGATGAGGACGACTGACCAGTCTCTTCCTCATATAGCTGTATATGTGTGTGTGTGTGTGTGTGTGTGTGTGTTTCTATGTATGTATGCAAACGGAGTCTAACAATGCACCACGGGCGCAGCCCTAGCTGAGCTGGCTATGTAGACCAGGCTGGGCCCGAACTCAGAGTTCTGCCACCATGAGTACTGAGATTAAAAAGCATGCACTATCTCGCCTGGCAAAAGAATATTTGAAGACAAATGCCAAAATCTGCTGATCCCATTTATGTCCGGGATATATTTAGCCGAGGGTCCAGGTGGCGAGCTTAATAACCGGTCTCCTAGGACCCAAATGAAACGTCTCCGGGGTCTTGAACCGCATCAGACTGGTTCCGCAAGGCATGCGCGCCCCCTTCCGGGCGCCAGTGGAACTGCTCCCAGACTGGCCGCAAACAAGTGCTGAGTGGCCGCCGGGTGGCGCCATTGCACCTAAAAAGCCAGTTTCCCAAATTAGACCGGAAGAAACCGAGGTCTAGACGGGGTGTAAACGCTTAGCCCATGATGGCCTTGAATTCATGAATCTTCTGTCTCAGTTTATCACAAGGTTGATTCCCAAAAGAGGCCCTGCGCATGGCCACATCATTGACTTTCTCTTTTTTTCTTTTTCTTTTTTTTCAAGACAGGGTTTCTCTGTCCTGGAGCTAGCTCTTGTAGACCAGGCTGGCCTCGAACTCACAGAGATCTGCCTGCCTCTGCCTCCAGAGTGCTGGGATTAAAGGCGTGCACCACCACCTTTTAAGCCTTTTGCTTTTAATACCGGGTCTCAAGGTCGTCGCTGGAGATCAGGGTCAGCCTCTGCTACACTGGTTAGAGGCCAGCCTGGGCTACATGAGATCCTGCTTCAAAAAAGACAAGGGGTGGAGGAGAAGTGAAAGGGGTTGGACATTTAGCTTAGCGGTCCAGCACTTGCCTAAGAAGCACAAAGTCTTGAAGTAGATGCAGAACGTGGGGACATTAATCTTCAAAATCTGCAGAGTACAGAGAATTATCACAACCACAGCCAAAACCATGGCCCACAGATGCCCAACCGAAGAAGGAAGAGAAGGAGGTTTACACAGGTTACCCCGGACACAAAACTAAGCTTTTAACAACGGAATACGCGCTGGTTTATCCCGCAGGGGTTGGCTCAGAGTGGAACAGTTTGTTCTTGCAAACCGCACAGCGAGCGCACTGAAGGGTTTCCAGGCTCGGGCGTCCTGACGCCGTTGGCGGGGTGCGCGACCAGACTGTGCGGCGCGGTGTGGGTTGCGGCTCGGTCTGAGAGTGCAGACCCGCGGGACCGGCGCTGGCGTCGCTGGCCACAGGGGCACACTCGGCAGAAGGCCTGTCTGAAGTGTGAGCCCAAGAAGGCGTAGAGCAGCGGATTGAGCGCCGAGTTGCTGTAGGACATGCAGTGAGCCCAGATCTTGAGCGCGTAGGCGGCGTAGCTGCGAGGATGCCACGCCCCCGCGGGGCCCAGGGCTTGGAGCACCAGGAACAGCTGGATCGGGCCCCAGCAGGCAGCGAAGAGCAGGACCACGGCGGCCACCAGCCGGGAGACCTTGGTGCGCACTGCTCCAGCGCGCTGTGCCAGCAGCTGTCCCTGGTGACCCAGGGGTGTTAACGAGAAGGGACAGGACCCCCTCCGAGGTACCCCCAGGATCCCCCACCACATGCACACACAGTCCGGGCTCCGATCGCCCCCCTGTCGCCCCTCTATCCTCACCGGTGTCCCTGCACATGCACACACATACGCCAGGCTCCAATCCTACCCCCAGCAGCCATCCTACCCCGGGAGCCCCCTACACATGCACACACAGTCCGAGCTCCGAAATGGTCCCCTGACACTCCTCCACCTCCACCATGGACCCTTCCACATGCACATACAGTCCCGACTCCAATCCCCTCCATCAGCACCGTGGGTCTCCCCCCCCACGCGCGCGTGTACACACACACACACACACACACACACACACACACACACACGCTCCCTCAGATGCCCTCCCTCCTGGCCCTGAGTCTCCCGCACCTGCAGGGCGCCGTCAGTGGGAGCAGGGCGTACAGCGGCGCGGCCCAGGTGGCGCAGCATGGCACCGTAGCAGGCGCAGGTGGCGAGCAGAGGCAGCAGGTACAGAGCCAGCAGGTTGTAGAGCGCGAAGGCGCGCTCCAGGGCACGACTGGGAAACGCCTCGCTGCAGTAGGTGCGAGGCCCGGGCGACAGGCGGTGCAGTGCCAACACCGGGGCGGACACGGCTGCAGAACCTGCGCCATGCGCCCAGAATGAGCACCGTGGTCGGAGAATGGGGACAGGTCCCACCCAGGAGACAGGGTCCCGTCCCCCCCCCAACCGGTGCCACACCCCTCGGCTGCGTCGCTGTCTCCCCCGCCCTATTTCCACCCCAAACCGCACTCACCCACCCAGATGCTAAGACTGACAGCCAGGGCCAGTCGCGGAGTGCGGCGGTGTAGGGCGCGCAGCGGAAATACAGTCACATACCAACGGTCCACGCTCATAGCCGTCAGGGTGGCGCATGTGGCTTGCACCGAGACCTGGAAAAGCCAAGGACTGAGTGTGGGCCCTGCCAGTCTCGCTACATATCTGACCAGTCAGGTGTTCACGAACATATCCTGGGAGGAGCAGGCAGTGGCCATGGGTTGAGGGGACCCAAAAACCCTGAGAGCTGGAAGGGAGGTAAACGCTGGAGTTTGTTAGGCATCCCGAACACACCCGCACAGCCCGAAACGCGCCCACTGTGGGCTCTAGCCCACGCCCACCCAGACTCCCCAGTGTCCAGTCAACCTTTCGCACAGAGACCACATGGGGCGCTTGCATTTTGAGGGTGTCCATCCTGACCATCCCTCCCTGCTCACACCAGCTCAGACCCCTGCCCTGCAAGACTGTGCCCTCGGGACCCTGGACAGATGGGTCAGCGGTTAGCACACCGGCTGCCCTTACAGAGGACCCGGGGGTTCAGTTCCCAGCATCCACACGGGCCTTACAACCGTCTGTGACTCCAGCTCTGGGGACCCCACGCCTCCTCCTGGTCTCTGGGGGTACTGCACACACACGTGGTGATCAGATACTTCCAGACCCCCCCCCCCACACACACACAAACACACACACGAAATAAAAACACATTTAAATCAAATGGGGGCTGGAGAGATGGCTCAGAGGTTAAGAGCACTGACTGCTCTCCCAGTGATCCTGAGTTCAATTCCCAGAAGCCACCATTATCTATAGTAAGACCTGGTGTCCTTTTCTGGCACGCAGGCAGAACACTGTATACATAAAAAATACAACTGTAAAAGATACATTTACATGGCTCACGTTTTTAAACCCGGCACGGATCTCTGAGTTCTAGGCCAGCCTGGGCTACATAGACTCTGTTTCAGAAATCTAAAATAAGTAAATAAAAGACCATGCCTTATTTCTGATTATGCCCCATCCTGCGCACCCCAGACCCTGGCCATCCCTCCTACCCGCAGGCTCTCTGGTCTGTCCACGCCCTGATCAGTCTCTCACTCCCACCAGAGCGGACTCCCAGCTCCCGGCCCCACCGCCACCAGACTCTCCCCGGGCAGAAGCCATTCCTGCTCCCCGGCTTCTTGCTCCCTGGCTCGCCCCCTAGCCCAGCCCGCGCACCTGCTGGATGTAGTTGACGAATTTGCACATGAAGTCTCCCAGCACCCAGGCGGGCAGCGGGTAGAGCAGCGCCGTGAAGGGGACGCAGCACAGTAGGAAAGTGACGTCTGTGGCCGCCAAGTTGGCTACAAGTAGGGGACACGCGGATGTTGGAAGGTGGGGGCACCCAAAGCTCCTGACCGGGGCCCCTGACTTCTCCATCCCGGTCCGAGGGAAACACCCCCCCACACCCCACACCCCCGCCACACACACAATCTTGCACCAGAGAAGCAGAGGCACCCTCCACCTTCATTGCGCTCATTCCCAGCAGCCCCCGGCATCTCAGAGCCTGCCTGTTTCCCCATCTCTAAATTGGAGACAGCGGGTACCAGTTGGGGCGTGTCACACACACACAGGTCCCCTTCTGTCCAGAGGCCCTTACAGGACAGACACCTGTGGAAATGGTCAAGTCTCCTCGCGCATTCGCCAACCCACCCTTTGGAACTCAGGCGGGATGCATCGCAGGGAAGGCTGGAGGGGGGGGACCCCGCTCCCACCCTGGCACCCCAGGGAGGCGCGCACTTACCGATGTAAAAGTTGGTCACTGTCCGCATGTGCTTGTGGCGGCAGATGACGTAGATGACCAGCGAGTTCCCGACCAGCCCGAGCAACATGAGCGCAGCGAAGAACAAGGGAACCAGCCAGGCATCCAGTGGCCTGGGCCCGGAGGAGCCCGAGCCGTCCGAGGCGTTGGCACCGCAGCCCGGGCATCCCGATGCGTTGGTTGGAGTCCACCAGGTCGCGTTGGGACCCAAGGTCGCCTCGGTGGCCATGGCCCGGTCGTCCTCCTCCTCCAGGCAGCCTTCGGGATTGCGCCCCGGGACTGTGGGAACAGAGGAAGGTCCCTTCTCCGCCTCCTTATGGCCGCCCTCCCGGGATGCCAGCGCCCCTGGCTCTGCTGCCGGCGGAGGGGGCTGGAACGTGGCTCCTCTGCCAGCGTCCGTCGCAGCGGCCACTCTTATACCCCGCGCCCCCCTCCCTTGTCCCCGCCTTCGCGTCTCCCTGCGTAGTAGCCTCTCCAGAGCCTCGCGCTCGCTCTTCCCAGAGCTGTGCCCGGATGAGAGAGGAGGGAGGGCGCTGGGCACCAAGCAGGGGAGGGGTCCGTGCCCCTCCCTCCCTTCCTCCCTCCCTCCCTCCTTCCCTCCCTTCCTCGCAGGGCCCAGCTTCAGTCAGGGCTGCAGGCCGGTGGCCCGTTCCCTAGGGGAGGATGCCCAGAGCATGTCCCCAGGCCAGTGAGAGCCACGTGAAGCTTAGGACAAGGGCGGGACCTTCGGTTCCCTTTGGTTGACTCTGATTGCTGGTTACAAGGTTCCCCCTCTAACTGGCACCCAGAGGCCGGTCCCTGTCCGGAGTGGACGCTGTGGAAACTATCACAGGAACCATGAGGAACTGACCTAGGCCACACTGTCACACCCCTGTTTACTGCATCTCAGAAGCTCCCTAGGGACCCCGAGATGTTATCCTTGGCAAGTCACCAGAATACTATGCAGCAGAGAAAAATAAAACGAGTTAAAAGAGGGGAGCGAAGGTGTAACTCAGTGGTAGTGTGTTTATCTAGTGCGTGTAAGGTTCACACACACCAAGGGGGTGGACACAAGGCGGGGAGGGTCAGCAAATAGGAAGCGGCCCTGGGAATCCTGAAGGGTGTGGGAAGTAAGAAGCAGAAAGGACCCCTTCTCTGTCCACCCACACAGCACTCAGGTGTGACGCCAGGAATCCAAGTCCCCTCACAGCCCCGCCCCTAGGTTCCCTCTGACCAGGTTCCTGTGCAAGGCCTCGCTTCACCTGTCTCCAGGAAGCCTCAGAGTGGACACTGACTTTTGTTTTAATTAATTTATTTTTAATAGATTTTTTTAAGGGATCAAAGGCACGAGCCTTTCCACGTAGCCCAGGCTGGCCCTGAACTTGATGATGACGTTTAAACACCTGATCTTCTTGCCTCTTCTAAGAAGTGCTGGGAGGCCAGGCGTGCACCTGCCCCCCCCCCCCCATCCAATCCTGTAGCCCGGGCTGGCACTCTAATGATCCTCCTGCCTCAGCCTCTGGAGTGCTGGGGCGTGCACCACGGCCGACCTCCCTCCACTCGCTCCACCAGGCTGACTCGGACCGGCTGGGGCCGTCACCCCGGGCGGCGCTCCCTCCCGCTCCAGGAGCCGGTCGCAGCTTCGCAGTCGCCTCCCGGGGGAGCGTCCCACCCTCTTCCCCTGGACGGCCCAGACTCCGTCTTCAGCCCGGCGGGTGACGCCGCCCAGTGTCTACGGAGAGGGAAACCGAGGCAGGGGCGTCTACCCCACAGCAGCCGAGGCTGTTCCCGGACTGTCCCCGCCCCGGGCCGCTGCGGACTCCTCCCCGCGCGTCACTTCCTCCGCGGCCTCGGGCCGGGCTGCTACCGCGGCTGCAGGCCATGGTGGCTCTGGACGACCCTGACGGCGGCCTGGAGGCGACCCCCGGCGCGGAGACCAGGCTGTGAGCAGGGTCGGGGGGCTGGCCTCTTCCCTCCTCCTCGGACTAGGCTCTCCTCCTCCTCCCCAGGCTGGGGTCTCCTCTCCCCCTCCTCCTCTCCAGATTGGGGTCTCCTCTCCCTCTCCTCCTCCTCCCCAGATTGGGGTCTCCTCTCCTCCTCCTCCCCAGATTGGGGTCTCCTCTCCCCCTCCTCCTCCCCAGGATGGGGTCTCCTCTGCCCCCTCCTCCCCAACTCCCCCCATGGATGTGTTCTCTCTCTGCCCACACCCATTTCCCTGGCTGCTCACCACAGATCACCCCTACCCCTCACCCCCCACCCCGCTCTATGGGGACCCCGCGATATGAGGAGGTCGCTAACTTGGCCCACAGGCACCTGGGCATTTCCTGCCCCAAGGCTGAGGCGGCACAGCAGCACTGGAGAGCTGCTACCACTCAGCCCCCTCCGAGGGCCCCCATGCCCTCCACTGCTCCAGCAAGTGGTCTATCCTGGAGCAGTGGTCTAGCCTGGAGCAGCGGGTGCTGCTCCTCAGGCGTCCTGGTTCTGTGACTCCCTGGCCCTGTGAGACAGAGCTGGCTTGGCCTCCAGGCAGGCTGCTGAGCCCCGTCATGGGGAAGGCGGCTTGGGACCCACAAAGCCCTGATCTTGTGGTGTCTGGTAGTCCTGGGTCCTATTTGGTTACACCTTTGCCTGTTGGGTTTATTTACATTTAATTAAAGAAATATTTTATTTTTACGTTTATGGGCATTTTGTCTGCACATCTGTGTGCACCATGAGTGTGTAGTATCCGTGGAAACAGGAAGGGGGCGTCGGTTCCCCAGAACTGGAGTCACAGGCGGTTGTGAGCCCCCTGTGGGTGCTGGGAACGGACCTGGGTCCTCCTCAGGGGCAGCTCTTGCTCCTCTCCTGGCCTTGCTCTGTTTGTTCGTTGGACTTGGGTCCCTCTAGCCCAGGCTGACCTCAGGTTCTCTTTGACCTTCCACTCCTGGTTCTCCCTGCCTCTACCTCCTGGGACCCCGCCTAGCTACCTTACCGTGGCTCTGGTGTAAATAAGTTTGTGTTTTGGTGAATTGCTTCTCCTCAGGGCCTCACCCAGGTGTCCACCTGCCTGCAGGGTGTTGGGGGCGCTGAGTCACCACCACCCTGCTTCCTGTTGGGGAACTGGGTTCTCTGCCATTCTGGGAGTGTTTGCCAAAGATGTGTTTATGTGGGGTGTGTCTCAGCAAGCCAGGGTCCCATTGCCCAACCATCAGAATGCAAAAAAGGAACTGTGTTCCCCAAACCTGGCTGACTTAGCACGCTATCTGCCTTTGTTCTAGCCACCCCTTCCAGGTGCTGGCCACTTTCTGAGGCGCAGGCACCTCCTCTAGGTCCTCAGCTTCAGTCTCTGTGAAACGGCCTGGTTATGGGGAAGGAAGTGTTCACTCGACAAGCCCCACGTTAGTTCATTGCTGTGGGCTGCCTGCTGGACACTTGGGAGGCACAGTGAGGGCTGAAGGGGACCCAGCCGGTTCCCAGTTGGCACAGCAACAAGAAGTGTTGACTGGACCGGCCATGCCACCTTCTGGGAGGTGACATTTGAACAGAAACCAGGATCAGGCAGAGCCAGGAGAGGTGTTTGCGGCAGGGCCTGTGCAAAGGCTCGGAGGCCTGGAAAATTTGAAATCAGGGAGCAGTTCTGTCTCTGGGAGCCCTTGGGACCCACAAGAGGGAGGTGTTGTCCCCACAGCCCTTAGAACTGAACACGGACTGCAGGCCAGGGAGCATGGAGGGCTTGCCCTACGGGTACTAGGAAGCCATGGTTGGTCTCAGCCTAATGGCCTTTGGTCTGAGTGGCTCAGCTGTCCAAACTGGGACCCAGGTTCACATCCGTCTTGTGTCTGTGTTTCCTGCAGACAGCTGCGGTTTGTTATCAGCCTGTACCAACCGCCAGGGCGCGGCTTTGAAGACCTGGGGGTGAAGCTAAGCCAGAAGTGGCTCAGCCTCAACCTCAGAGCCGACGGCAGGCCCACCTGGGGCTGGGAGTGGGAGAAAGTTGGTAGCTGGCCTCGCAGGCCCCTTCTGCAAGGAGCCCCGGGGCTCACCCTGCTCAGGGGTGACCCAAGCAGATGGGTGTCCCTCCCAGGCTTTGGTTCACAGGGCCCTTTTCAGCGCCGTCACTGGTGGCCTGGGGTTGGGACCCCACCACAACTGAAGCTCCGGGCCCCAACCCTGCAAGACCCCCAGGATGGGCCTTCTGGGGCCTGTCCTTCAGAGCAGAACTGGGCTCCTGGGTGCCCAGCTAATCCCTTCACAGGATTAGCACCATCTTCAGGAGTTAGCTCTGAGGGTGGCTGGCAGGCGGGCAGGCCCTGTGGGGAGGTGCTCAGCCCCCACCCCGGTCAGGTGAGATCCTGCGGCCATTTTCTGATTTCCAGGGGGTGTGGGAGAGAGTCCACTTCTGGGGGGGTTGGCTCCAACCCCTGCAGTCCGTGGGGGCCTTGATGGCTTGTGGCTTAAATCTGGGAGGTTGGAGTGGCTGGAGGGACCACCTCTCCTCTGGGACTTGTGTCTTTCCTTCCCAGAGCCTCAGTTTACCCCTCTTGCGTCATTGCTCGAGTCCTGAGAATCCACACACAGGGGTCGTGGGAGTGTGTGTGTGTGGGGGGGGGTGCTAAAGCTTCGTGTTGCCAGGGACACCTAGCAGGTCCTGTCTGGGCCCTGATGGCCTCCTCCCCTGGCCCACAGGTCCCTTCCTGGCTGCCTGCCCACGCTCGGTGGCTCACAAGTGAAGAGGGTCTCAGCCTCCAGACGCAAGCAACACTTTATCAACCAGGCTGTGCGAAATTCGGACCTGGTTCCCAAAGCAAAAGGACGGAAGAGCCTGCAGCGTTTGGAGAATAGTAAGCAGGGCCGTGTGTCGATGCTATGCCCCCTTGCACTGACCGGGCACTAGAGTCAGGGCTCCAGAGGGTTCCTAGGAGTTTGGGAAGGCAAGGAGAGGTAGATGGGGCTCTAGAGTCTGGCTGGGTAAAAGAGAAAACAAAACAAAACTTGGAACAGCCGAAGCACTGCCTCCACCCACGGACCCTCTGTTTCTATCCAGCCCGGTACCTCCTAACTCTGCTGGAAACAGCTGGGGGTTCTCCAGGCCCGGAAGATGGGGACCTGACTCCACCTGCGGCACCTGGAATCTTCGCAGAGGCCTGCAGCAATGCCACGTATGTGGAGGTGAGACTCTGGGGTCCCCCTGCAGCCCCTGAGATGTGCCCACCCCTCCCTGGTGGGCTAATATGGTGGGCTCTCCATATTAGAATAGAGGACCCCGTTACATGAGAGCATGTCACTGACGGTGCGTCCCCGACTTCCATGGAGTGAGTGGGGTCATGCCTGCTGAACTCCAAGCATCCTTTGAAACCCCCGTTCCAGCATCCAGCTCAGGCCCCACACATGTGAGACACTTGTCAGGTGGGGAAGCAGACCCAGGGGCCTCAAGGCTAGCCTGCATCCCTGTCTTCCAGGTCTGGAATGATTTTATGAACCGCTCTGGAGAGGAGCAAGAGCGAGTGCTCCGCTACCTGGAGGATGAGGATCAGGGCAAGCGGAGGCGCGGGCCTGGCCGCGGGGAGGATCGACGGAGAGGTGGGGTCTGGCTCGGGCCGGGCTGGGGCGTGTCGGGTGTGTCGGTGTGGGCGGAGTTAGGGCACAGGTGTACTCAGGTGTGTTCTGGGGCAGGGGTGGAGCTTGGGCTTCAGAGCGTGGTGTGGGCGGGGCCAAGCTGCAGAGGGGCGAGGTGTTGAGGCTGTGAGCCTCCTTGGTCACGGGGTCTTCCCCCCACCTTGCCACCCTCACAGAGGACCCGGCCTTCACACCTCATGAGTGCTTCAGGCGCATCAGCCGTCGCCTGCGGTCTGTGCTCAAGCGCAGCCGCATCCCGATGGTGAGTGGTCCCACCTTCCTCTCAACCTCACCTTTTCATGCCACTGTCCTGACTTGTCGTCCTGGTCGTGCTTAGGAGGAGGAGGGGTGGTCCGACGCAAGTGGGTGCTGCAGTATGGATAGGAGTTTGGTGGACAAAAGGCGGGGCCTGACACCCTTGGAGACAGCCAGGGCACCATGTGTTGTGTGACTTTTGTGACCCTTCCGCTCTTCCCACCCCCACAGGAAACCCTGGAGAGTTGGGAGGAGCGACTGCTGGGGTTCTTCTCGGTGTCTCCCCAGGCTGTGTACACTGCCATGCTGGACAACAGGTACTGGTGCCGGGGAGTGGGCAGCGCCCTCTCCTCCTCCCGGCTCTGCCTCAGCTCTACTCACACCCCTTCTTCCCCAGCTTTGAGAGGCTCCTGCTTCACGCCGTCTGCCAGTACATGGACCTCATCTCAGCCAGTGAGTGCCGACTCCCACTGCTCCTTGACCCATCCTGAGGAAGCAGAGGCTGGGTGCTCAGCAGGAGACCCCATGGTGTGGTGTATGGGTTCATAGCAGAGCCGTGGCCATGGGATCCTGGTAGTTATGTAACTCAAGAACAATACTCCGGTGTCCAGTGGGCCAGCACCCTCCATCCACAGCCCCAGGGAAGAGGAGTCGAGGGTCTATCCCAGCCCTGGAGAAGGGGGCGGAGGCTCCCGGAACACAGGCCTACCCCCTAACAGTGAGCCTCAGTTGCTCCAGGTGCCCTATCTGGTCCTTCCCTTTCTTCCCCTTTCTTCCCACCTGGCTCTACCTCCGGCTCAGAGTTGCTGCGGTGATGGTTTCCACGGCAACCCTGGGAATTGATCCCTCTGGTTTCCCTCTGTGGGAGGTTGCTGCAGCCTCCACACCTGCCTCTTCTCACAGGCTTGTGAGGAGGGGCTTGGTGTGAGGGAGACTTCTCCGTAGAGGTCATGGCTACCACACACCCCCCAGCCACCCACTTTCTTTTGTTGTTTATGGAGACAGGGTCTCGGGTGTAGCCCCGGCTAACCTCCTCTGGCCCAGCTCCTCCAGTCCTCACATGATTTGTCCACAGGTGCTGACCTGGAGGGCCGGAGGCAGATGAAGGTCAGCAACCGTCACCTGGACTTCCTGCCTCCGGAACTACTGTTGTCTGCCTACCTGGACCAGCAGTGACGGCGGAGCCGCCTGCCAACCGGCCCGGCAGGCCCAGACCTCCAACTTCTGCTGATTTCTTGCATACTTTCAGAATGAGAACACCCCGCTCCCCTCCGGGGCCCCCTTGCCCGGGGCCCCGCCCGGGGGGCAGGACGGTGAGGGCGGCGGGGTGGGGGGGGGGGGGGGGGGGGGGGGGCGCGGGGAAAAGATTTTTTTTTTCAAGGGCTGTTTTTTTTTTTTTTTTTTTTTTTTTTTTGGTGACGTGTGTACCATGTCCCTGACTCCCTGGGCTCTGCCAGCCTGTCCTTCAAATCCTCCTCGTGTCCCTCCTTATACCAGGGGTCCAGGACTTCCAGCCAGAAGTCTCTGACCTTGTGTTCCCTGTCCCCTCCGGTCCCCTCTGCCGCCCAGCATAGCTGTGGTCACTGCAGAGGCCTTACACGCTCGGCAGGCCTGTCCTCCCTTCCCCTTTCCCGTGGTTCTTTGTGCTTGGGAGAAAGGGACTCTGAATAAAGTCTTGGTGCTCCGGCCCTGACTGTGTGCTCTGGGTTTGGTGGGGGCGGGAGTGTGGAAGTCACCAGGGCTGGAAGTCTGGACACGGGACCCTCCGTTCATTTTGAAATGTGTAAATGTGTAAAATGCTTAAAGATGGGGTGCCAGGCTTTGACTTATTTGCCTAGTCTGCCCAAAGCCCTGAACCCCATCTCTAACACATGTAAGCCCATGGTGACCAGCAATTCCAAGCTGTCCTCAGCTACACCTGAGTTTGAGGCTAGCCTGAGCTCTATGAGATGCACAGGTCTGGTGCTGGACCTTTAATCCCAACACTCGGTGGGGTGTGGGGCAGAGGCAGGTGGCTCTCTCCGAGTGAGACCAGCCTGGTCTACAGAGCGAGTTCCAGGACAGCCAGGGCTACACAGAGAAACCTATCCCCCCCCCAAAGAAAATATAAATTTTAAAAATATAGCTGAACTCGTGGCTGGCTCCGTGATACACAGTTGTACCGGGTTTGAGAAAAAAAAATATGGAACGCTTCACGAATTTGCGTGTCATCCTTGCGCAGGGGCCATGCTAATCTTCTCTGTATCGTTCCAATTTTAGTATATGTGCTGCCGAAGCGAGCACAAACGAGAGCCTCGTCCGAGCAGTATTTAAAGGCAGAAAACTCAGTATCCTCTTACTTAGGGTTACTATACTTTGAGTTTGAAAATTGTAGTATGTTTCTATTTTCTCCTATATAAAACTAAACGCATCATGTAAGATGTAGCCAGTGATCAGAAATGAGGGATTATTTGTCTTCTAACGCTCATAGAGTCGCAATGGTTACTAGGAATTGCTATATGCAAATTAACCGGGTAGGGGCGGAGCCACAGCTTTCCCAGAAGTCTGTGCGAGGGGGCCGGCGCGGTCCGAGAGATGGCGGCGCCGGATCCCAGTCGGTGGGGCGAGTGTGGACCGCGACCGCCCGGCCGACTGAGCGCTCGGGGTGGACAGGTCAGTGCGAGGTGCAGGCTGCTGGATGCGTGACCGGCGCAAACCGTGTGAGGCCGGCGAGCGGAAGGCCAAGGGGCGGAGCCTGCGGGGTCAGAGGGCGGGCCTGGGAGCAAAGCTTGCTGGGTAGCAGATGGTAGGGAAGGGGCGTGGCCAGGACCGGTGCTTGCCGTGTACCTGAGACTGCGGAAGGGGTGTGGCCCGAGCGGGAGGGGCAGAGCCTGAGCGCATCAGCCAACCAGAAACTGCGGGATAGGGGCGTGACCTGGGGAAGTGAGGCTGCTCGAGAAGGGCGTGGTCTAAGAAGCGGCGTTTAAATGGGGGTGTGGGCGTGGTCTGTCGGCCTGATACTGATGGAGGGGTGCGTGGCCTGATAGTCACAAGCTAAGAGGGTCCGTAAGCTGGTAGTTGGTTTGGAAGCGGAACCTAGGGTTTTAGAGGGTGTGGGTGGAGCTTCACGAACTTGGGAGCGGCGTGGGTGAAGGTTCCTGGGTGTAGGCTAAGGTTTAAGATTTAGGTCTTGGGAAGCAGCCTTGGGTGCTAACTTGTAGGGGGCGTGGCCTGAACGGCGGGGGCGGGGCGTAGGGTGTAAACTTGGAGTGCAGGTTGAGACCCAGACTTGAAGGAGTAGGGTAGGGCCTGGTTGTGGTGGGTGCTTAGTGGTTTTGGAGGCTAAGCTCTGACTGAGATCTGGATGGGTGATAGGTGGGTAGGGAGGGGTGACTTTAGGCCCGGCGTTTATAGCAGGACTCGGGCTTCAGTGGCCTAGACCCACTTTAGCTGGGGTCTTGGGTTTTTCCTTGTTCCCCAGGAGCCAGGGACCGTGCTGGGTGCGGTGGGCATGATGGACCTGGCCTACGTGTGTGAGTGGGAGAAGTGGGCCAAGAGCACTTACTGCCCATCGCTGCCCCTGGCCTGTGCCTGGTCCTGTAGGAACCTCATCGCCTTCACCACGGACCTCCGAAATGACGACCAGGGTGAGTGTCTGTTCCCTTCACCCGGCCTGGACCGGGCATCCATGCCATGTAGGTGGGCTGTGCCAGGTGTTGATCTCAGATTTCCGTACACATGTGACCCAGTTTGAAAGGCTCACGATGGCAGAGCCAGGCTCTCTGTTATGAGTTAGAGGGTTTAGAGAAGCCAGGGGAAGCAGTCACACACGGGCCACCATCCTCCCAGCTCTAGCGCTAGTGCCCCGGAAGGGGGCGTTGTGGTCGCTCTGGATAACCCTGCCCACGGGATTAGCAGCATAGAGGAGCAGGCGCACACAGGGAGAGGTGAAATGGGGTACTGTGAGCCACACTGACCTCACCTGTTCTCCGTCCGTTGCAGACCTGACACATATGATCCATATCCTAGACACGGAACATCCCTGGGAAGTGCACTCCGTCAACTCTGGCCACAGTGAGGCCATCACCTGCCTGGAATGGGACCAGTCAGGTGAGGCTGCCAGGTTTGCTGTTAGCGCAGAGCCCTGAGCACCACAGACTGCCTCTTCCAGGCCAGTGGGCCCTCTGGGAGGCCAGAGTGGGGGGGGGCTGCAGTCGACCTGTCCATCAGGAGGGCTCCTGACATAGCTGTCACCGCAGGCTCTCGGCTCCTGTCGGCCGATGCTGATGGGAGGATCAAATGTTGGAGCATGGCTGACCACTTGGCCAACAGCTGGGAGAGCTCCGTGGGCAGCCAGGTGGAGGGGGACCCCATCGTGGCTCTGTCGTGGCTGCACAACGGCGTGAAGCTGGCACTGCACGTGGAGAAGGTGAGAGACCCACTGCGGACGGCGGGGCAGACAGGGTGGAGGTGCACGGGCTCCAGGCCCAGCTCATGCTGCTCAGTCATTAACTGCTCTCTGAGCTCCTGTCCCCGCGAGCAAGCACAGACTTAACTGCTGCTCTTATCCCCCCAGCCCCCCTTTCGCCGAAGGCCCCTTACAGTGACCTTGTTTAACACTGCTGTGTCAGTGACGGCCAATTTTACAGATGGCTGCCATGTGGCCTTCAGACCCCGGTCAACTTTGGTTTAGTGGTGACCTAGAATTCCCCTGTCCATGTGTACGTTGGCGTTCAGCATGAGAAATGTTCACCAACAGAGTTGGACTCTGAGCTCTGAGAATCCATTTCTTCAGTAGAGCAGGGGAGGTGGCCGCCTGTGAGGTCCATGGGGCCCAGTAGCCCTGCAGCGCCTGCTGAGGCCACTCCCACCTGTCACAGGCTTTCTTGGCCCACCAGCCGGCTCCCAAATCATGGCATGGAGACTTACTAATTACTAATACTTGGCCTTAGCTTAGACTTGTCCCACTAGCTCTTATAACTTACTTCAACCTGTTTCTTTTCTTCTGCATTTTCCTCCGGCTTTTACCTTCCTTCCTCCTGCAGGTCCTACCTTCCTGCTGCCTAGCTGGCCCCAGGTGTTGTCTCCCTCCTTCTTTTCCCTCAGTCTTCTTCTTCTTCTCTACCTAGATTCACCTAGATACCGTCTACCTATTTTCTGCCAGCCCCACCTATCTCTTTTTATTAAATAAATCAGGAGCCTTAGGGAGGCAAGGTCAAACAAATGTAACACGCCTTCGCATAGTTAAACAACTGTAACATATTTACCTACTTAAAGTAATATTCCACAGCACCTATCCAATACAACTCTTCAAAAAAAAAGGTTGAGTGGACCAAGTGGTGGTGGCTACGCACACTTTTAATTCCCAGCATTTGAGAGGCAGGCAGATCTAAGAGTTCAAGGCCATCTGGTCTGCAGAGCAAGTTCTGGGACAGCTAGGGCTACACAGAGCAACCCTGCCTCAAAAATAAATAAATAATAAATGAATAAATAAATAAATAACAAAGGCTGGACCTAGTGACCCAGACCAACCCCAGCACTCAGGAGGCAAATAGCGCTCTCTGTCTCACAAATTAAATATAGGGACTGGAGAGGTAGCTCAGTGGTTAGAGCACAGGCTGCCCCTGCAAAGGACCTGGGTTACATTCCCAGCACCCACATGGTGGCTCCCAGCCATGTGTAACTCCAGCTCCACGGGATCCAACACCCTCTTCTGACCTCCACGGATACCTCACTCATGTGATGTGAGAACACTCAGACACATAAAATATAATAAATCTTTTTTTCCCTAGTTTTTTGAGACAGGGTTTCTCTGAGTAGCCCTGGCTATCCTGGAACTCACTCTGTAGCCCAGCCTGGTCTCAAACTCAGAGATCCTCCTGCTTCTACCTCCAAGTGCTGGGATTAAAGGCGTGCACCACTATATAAATAGCGAACCTGGCTATAAGTCTTATAACTATATTAACTTATAAAGTTAACGTAAAAACTCGCTTTATTGAGCTAGTCACAGTAGTGCGTGCTCGTCATCCCTGCACTTGAAGGCTGAGGCAGGAGGATCATAACTTTGAGTTCCGCCTGGGCTGCATACCCTGTCTCAAGCAAACAAGGTGCATTTTGTGTGTAAATGACCCCAGTTTGGACCTCCAGACGCAAGGACAAGAGTGACTGGCACTGAGGCAGCGCTCCACAGGCCATGTCTGCTGCCCCAGCCGCTGCCTCGCGGCACAGCAGAGACCATGCCGTGAGGTCACAACAGAGAAACTGCAGAGCCAAGTTTGGTGCCCAGAGAAAAATGAGGAGACCAAGAGTTAGAGAGGCCCCGTCATGCAGTGCTCTGTGCTTGTGGGGATCATCGAACGTGGACCCCAAGGATCTGAGCAAGCCCCCTTCCTCCCTTCCTCCAGTCAGGTGCCTCCAGCTTCGGGGAGAAGTTCTCACGTGTAAAGTTCTCCCCGTCGCTCACGCTGTTTGGCGGTAAGCCCATGGAGGGCTGGATTGCAGTGACGGTCAGTGGCCTGGTGACCGTGTCCCTGCTGAAGCCAAGTGGGCAAGTGCTGACATCCACGGAGAGCCTGTGCCGGCTGCGTGGCCGGGTGGCCCTGGCCGACATCGCCTTCACGGGTGGCGGGAACATCGTGGTGGCTGCTGCAGATGGCAGCAGCGCGTCACCCGTGAAGTTCTACAAGGTGTGCGTGAGCGTGGTGAGCGAGAAGTGCCGCATCGACACGGAGATCCTGCCCTCCTTGTTCATGCGCTGCACCACCGACCCCAATCGCAAGGACAGGTTCCCCGCCATCACACACCTCAAGTTCCTGGCTCGAGATATGTCTGAGCAGGTAAGCGAGGCTTCATCCCCAGCCTGGGGGCAGAATCTGACAGGGACCTGGTGGGGCTGGGAAGGTCCCTGCTGGTGGCCCACCTATGTCTGCACCTGAGGCCCTACATCCCTGGGCCTGTGGCCCCTTTCTCCATTCTGTCTGCCTCTCGCTGTCCTGCCTCACAACCCCAAGGTGAAATCAGGCTCTGGATAGTCTAGGCAAGTCCCCAGTCAGGGTCCTCAGCCTGAGTCCCTCTCCCGAGTTCCCTCTGCCTGACTTAGAATATGTCCTGTCCCATCTTTGGGGCTCTCTTCCCACTGTTTAGGGGTCTCTTGAGTTCCCACTGTGTCTGTGAATTCAGGAGGCCCCCCCTTCTTGAAGACCTTGCAATCTTGTGCTGAGTCCAATGTGAACCCGTCATGGAGGATGCAAGTGCCCCAAGGGACAGCCCTCCCACCCTGTCCTCACTGCCTCCCACCCCCAGGTGCTCCTGTGTGCATCCAGCCAGACCAGCAGCCTGGTGGAGTGCTGGTCGCTGCGGAAGGAAGGCCTGCCTGTGAACAACATCTTCCAGCAGATCTCGCCTGTGGGTCAGTCAGCGGGGCTCCTTATCTGGGGATCTGGGGGTTTATCTCAAGGCAGGATCTTAGGCAGGGTGGTGGTGGTGCACGCCTTTAATCCCAGCACTTGGGAGGCAGAGGCAGGTGGATCTCTGAGTTCGAGGCCAACCTGGTCTACAAGAGCTAGCTCCAGGACAGACTCCAAAGCCACAGAGAAACCCTGTCTCGAAAAACCAAAAGAGAGAGAGCGAGAGAGAGAGAGAGGGAGAGAGGGTCTTTGTGTGTCCCTGCCTGGCTGGCCTTGAATGCACAGAACTGTGCCCACCTCTGCCTCCTGACCCCTGGGCTAAAGCTTTGGCCTGTTAGTTTACTGAGACTAACTTCTCAGCCCCAGGAGACTGTTGGCTTCCTGGCTGGAGCGGGGTGCTAGTTCAGAGAGGAGGCTGGAGGTGCCAGCTCACCTCCCCAGAGCAGATCTGTAACCCTCCGTGGTCTCCCACACCTACGCTTGCTTACAAATGGGCACCTTCCTTCCCTGAGACTGCCCCCAGCAGCCTGGCTCAGCCCTGGCGTGGCCATCCCCAATACGGAAAGGAAGGTGAGAGGGAGCCGGGCGGAGCGCTAATGGACTCCTGGCGGCTTTGACGGAGGCTTGAGGGCCTAATGAAGTTGTGTCAAGAGGCCTCTCACTGCAGTTCCGCAAACTGCCCTTTGTGGCCAGCGAGTAATTAAATGTGAACAGCGTCCCGCTGTGCCTCCCGCAGACGGCTGTGAGTCACCGCAGGGCAGGGCCGCGGCAGGGCAGGGCCGCACCGCACTGGGCCCGCCACACAGGCCATCCCAGAGCAGCCGCCTGCTGTGCATCTGGGGAGCCTAGTTCTCCTGCCCAGTGGGTGGTGCCTGGCAGCCAGCCTGAGGCTTGGTGACCATGGTGACCGGAGCTATCTGTGGCGGGGACCACTGGCTGCCATTGGTCACTGACTTGTTTGGGTTTTGAGAAAAGTCCTGGGCCCTGTAGCCCTGTCAGCTGTCCTCCTGCCTCCACCTCTGCCTCCTGAGTCCCTTGTGAGAGCAATCTTCAGTGCAGGGAGCCCTGGCCGCTCTAAACAGGAGCTGTAGCCCTCTGGCCTCAGTGTCCTTTGGGCGTGACACCTGCTGGGCTCTCTGTGGAGTCAGGAGAGCACTCGGGGGCTGGGAGTCACCTGGACATAGTGGGGAGTGCCTGTCACCTCAGCAGCAAGGAGGTGGGGGCAGGAGGGTGAGTAGAGGGTTCACAGCCAGTGTGGCTCCAGGAGACCCTGTTTCAGAAAAAACCAGGAAAAATCCTTGGATTGCTCCTACGGGTCCTCAGGTCAGCTGGCTGGAGGAGGAGGAGAAGTGCTCTGATTGGCCATGCTAATCGGGACAGGAGTGACCCTGCTGCCCTGAGGGGGTCTTTCTGTACCCCTCCCATATCCCTCTCTTTTCCTGTCCCCAACTGTCCAGTTGGTGACAAACAGCCCATGATCCTCAAGTGGCGGATCCTGTCAGCCACCAACGACCTGGACCGCGTATCAGCAGTGGCACTGCCCAAATTGCCCATCTCACTCACCAACACGGACCTCAAGGTGGCCAGCGACACCCAGTTCTATCCCGGCCTCGGTATGTTAGGCCCAGGAGCACCTGGACCTGGGGTGGGAAGGTGGAGTCTGAGTGCTGCAGGTTCCCGGCCTCATGTGGGGAGTGTGGACTGTCCCCCGGAGTCAAGGTCCCGAAAGCTGCCAGATAGCTGCGTCCCTGTGGCTAGTCGACCCAGAGCTGCATTACTTAGTGTGTAAAGAATTGTAGCTGAGTAACGTAAAGTTACAGCATCTAAGACATGCGCAACTGTAGCCAATCACTAGAAAGCTGTGCCCTTCATACGTAAAGAGCTGTGGCTAATTGACAGTGAGTTGGGAACATGGGGTAAAACCCTTTTGCAGAAACAGACACATACAATCACCAGAGTATATAAACGGTCCAGGGTTCGGGTCACAGGCTAGCTCAGCTGCTCAGCTGTGAGATGGAGTTGCCTCTGCGCTTCTAGGTCCTTCTTCTCCTGGCTCTCTCCTATGTGACGGGAGAATGCCCTAGAGGTGGGGGCCGTGGCCAAGCCTAAGGAGGACCCTGGGACAGAGCCTGGGCTCTCTGGTTCTTGAGGTCACTATGGGAGACAGGGAAGGCAGCTGCTGCCCGCCCCGCCCTGACCACACTCCTGCCCCATCAGGCCTGGCGCTGGCCTTCCAGGACGGCAGTGTGCACGTGGTTCATCGGCTGTCGCTGCAGACCATGGCTGTGCTCTATAGCTCGGCCCCACGCTCGCTGGATGAGCCCGCCCTGAAGCGCCCCCGCACCACAGGCCCGGCCATACACTTCAAAGCCATGCAGCTGTCCTGGACATCGCTAGCCCTGGTGGGCATCGACAACCACGGGAAGGTGAGTGCCCAGACCAGGAGGGGTGGTCGGTAAGGGGTGGGGAGGGCAGGTGGAGGAGGGGAGGTTTGGGTAGGCAGCGTCCCTCAGCACAGCCTCCCCGCCCAGCTCAGCATGCTGCGCATCTCTCCGTCGCTGGGCCACCCGCTGGAGCCCAAGCTGGCCCTGCAGCACCTGCTGTTCCTGCTGGAGTACTGCATGGTGACCGGCTACGACTGGTGGGACATCCTGCTGCACGTGCAGCCCGGCATGGTGCAGAGCCTGGTGGAGCGGCTGCATGAGGAGTACACGCGCCAGAAGCCCGCCCTGCAGCAGGTGGGGGTCGCCACAAGCCCGCCCTGCAGCAAGCGGGCTCCACCCGAAAACGTCCCTCCTACTGCCTCCCCTCTGTGGGTTGTGGGTTGGGCCCAGGGCCTAGCAGGCACCCAGCAGCACCCTTCGGTGACCCTGGGGAGTAGCTCGAATCCATCCCTCCATCCTCATTCTGCCCCCAAGCTCAGAGGTCTGTCTACACTGTTCTACCATAGAACTGGTGGGTGTCACCGGACCACACCGGCTGCCAGAGGCTTGGCCACTAGCCACCAAGGCAAAGGGGAGAGCCGACGGCCATTCACAGAGAGTGACCCTGGGCGTGACTAGCCTGCGAGATTATGGGAGGGGGAATAAGCCTGTGGGCCCACCATTCCAGAAACTGAGGCAGGAGGATCATGATTTTGGGGTCAGTCTGGGCTACAGAGCAAGACGTTGTCTCAGAGTGAAGCGGTCAGGGAAGATCGGGGAACACAGCAGAGTGTGGGGACTCATAACTGGCCTCTGTCACCCTTGCTAGTGGGTGTCCTCACAGTGCCGGGGAGGGGACCCACCTGCTCCCAGTTGCCCGGCAAGTGGCTCTTTTCCCATTGTCCCGTGCTCTGGGCCCTCAGTGTGAGCCCCAGCCTGCCAGACCTTCCACTCACGTCTGTGCCCCCCAGGTCCTCTCCACCCGGATCCTGGCCATGAAGGCCTCGCTGTGCAAGCTGTCGCCCTGCACGGTGGCGCGCGTGTGTGACTACCACACCAAACTGTTCCTCATGGCTATCACGTCCACCCTCAAGTCACTGCTGCGCCCCCACTTCCTCAACACCCCTGACAAGAGCCCTGGGGACCGCCTGGCCGAGATCTGTGCCAAGATCACCGACGTCGGTAGGTGCTGGGCAGGGACCATGGCGACCACTTAATGATAGTCAGCCCTTGAGGTGGGCGCTGGAGAGGTGCCCAGCCCCGTGAGGTGGGCACTGGAGAGGTGCCCAGCCCCGTGAGGTGGGTGCTGGAGAGGTACCCAGCCCCGTGAGGTGGGCGCTGGAGAGGTGCCCAACCCCGTGCAGTCTTCATATCCTCGGTGTTCGTTGGGTTTGAGGTATGGCTTGGTGTAAACTAGATGTGGTGAAGCACAAAGATCGGGGTTGAACGTCATCCCTGGCTACAAAGCCAGTCAGCAGCCAACCTGACTGCACGAGCCCTGTCAAGAAGCCTCTCACACTGGAGCCGGGCTCTTCCTGTGGTCTCAGTGCTCTTCAGAGCTGTGGTGGGGACTTCTTCCCGCTATCGTTTCCAGCCATTGCCCCGCCCTGGGACCTGTGGGGGTCTCCCTGACCCCTCGGTACTGTCTCCACAGACATCGACAAGGTCATGATCAACCTGAAGACAGAGGAGTTTGTCCTGGACATGAACACTCTGCAGGCATTGCAACAGCTGCTGCAGTGGGTGGGGGACTTCGTGCTCTACCTCCTGGTCAGCCTGCCCAGCCAGGTGAGCCCTGCACCCCCGCACCCCCAGCCAGCCTGCCCAGC